GTGTACGCGTGTGTGTGTGTGTACGCGTGTGTGTGTGTGTACGCGTGTGTGTGTGTGTACGCGTGTGCGTGTGTCTGAGCGCGGCGTGACGCTCTGCTCGTCTCGCGCAGAGGCAAAGTCTTCATCACTGCTTTTCCTGCGCCAGAAGCGGCGCTCGCCATCATTCGCGGCGGTGCCGCCCGCGTGCCGGAGCTCTTCTACCCGTGGTGGCTGCGGCACGTGCACGGCCTCTGGGTGCTGCTCCCCAGCCCCCGCGTGCTGCAGAGCTTCTACAACCACAGCGCTTCGGACCGCGGCGCCTGGAAGCCCGGCAGCCCCTGACGGAGCGCTCCGCGTGCGGTGACCGCCCCCCATCCTCCTCCGCATCCCCCGGCCGCCCCCCTCGCTCCGCCCCGTAGGCTCGGTTACGGCTCGCGTTCTCCGCCCGGGGCCGGGCCCGCAAGGAGCGCAGCCCGCTGCCCTCGGAGCGCCGCGCACGGACCGGGCGGCACCGCGCCTCGCGGCGGCGGAAGCGCCCGAGCCGGAAGCGGCCGCTGCGGGGTTGCGCCCCGCCCCCCGGGCGGCAGCGGATTGGCTGGCACTCGAGGGGTATGCAAATTGCGCTGTGTTGCGCGCTTTCCTATTGGCTCCTGGCCCACGTTAGCACCGCCCTAATGGCGCAAGAGCCGCCCCGCGCATCGCTCCTCCTCTTGTGGGCGGAGCCACTCTGCTGCTGGCTGCCCATTGGCTGAGCAGCTGTGGGGGGCGGGGCTCCGCGGGGCCGTGGCGCGCCGGTGCGCTCCGTGCGCTGTGCGGCTGCGCCGGTTCCGTTCCGGTTCCACTCCTGTTCCGGTTCCGTTCCGGTTCCGTTCCGGTTTCGCTCCGTTTCCCCGAAGCGGTGCTGGCGCTGCAGCCGCCGAACGGCCCCGGGTCGCCCCAACCCCAGGCGGCGAACGCAGGGGGCAGCCGGGTTACTTAGGAAGTAAAACTTTTATTAAATAAATTTCAGACTCTGTAGGTCGGAGCGAGGGCTGACACTGACGGAGCGGCGTCGGATCGGCGATGGAAGAAACGCGAATGGTCAAACGGCGGCGGGCCGAACCTCGCCGGACCCGCTGTGGTTCCCCCCCCTCCCCCTCCCCGTTTCCATTTGTTGGTCCTTTTTTTTTTTTTCTTTTTTCTTTTGTTTTTTTGTTTTTTTGTTCAAAATTAGATTAAGTTTAAATCCATGAAATTACTCGTAGCAGAAATAAAGTACATTATACAAATCACGGACGTCGTCGATGTTAAGTATAAAAATGGTATTTACAATAAGTAAACATGGACTATAGAAACACACACAGACCCCCCCGGCCCACCCGGTTCCGCCACCTCTCACTGCAGTGGGGTGAGCGGGGGGGGCTGCAGCCCCAACCCCGTCCTGCCCCCCACCCACAGACACGCGGCGCCGCCCCCCGTGCCTCACCCCGCTCTGCGCCGCGTTCGGCTTCAGCAGGAAGCAGCAGTTCGTGGCGGCCGAGGGATCGGCCCGGCAGCACGGCCCCCCCACCCCCCTCCCCCCGTGCAGGGGTTGTGACACAGAGCTCCGAGCTGTGCTTCAGTGCGTGCGGAGGTGCGAATGCAGACGCAGGCTGTGTGATGTGCGATCTGTCCCTCGGAGGGAGCGCTGGGGAAGAAAGAACCGCAGGGACGGCGGCCCGATGCCGCCCGTGTGCGATGGGGAAGTGCTGCAGAGCTGAATTCAATGGGGAAGGTCCCACCTGGGCTGCGAACCAGCAATGCCTGCACGCAGCTCCGGGTCCTGCACGGCCCGGCCGTTCCATCAGCGCTCCCTCTCCTCCTCCTCCTCCTCCTCCTCTGCTGTCCTGTTACCACGAGGAGCAATGAGATGTGGGGCGGCAGTGCAGGTCCTGCAGGGAAAGGTTTCCTGTGCTTTCAGCCCAACCGGCACCGAATTGCAGGAGTTTGGTCTGCAGAAGCCCTTAGGAGGGTAAGACAGAGCGATCCTTCACCAGGCTGGTGCTAAGGTTGGTGGGTGAGTGAGCGGAGCGGAGCAGCTGGCTGTGCCCTAACCCTGGAGGTAAGTAGTTCTCCTTCTCCTCGCTTGGTGCTGATGCTGAGCGGGGAGATGGGCCCTCCCTCGCTCTCTGTCCATCCAGGCATCCTCTCAAAATGTTCAGGTCTGTTTGCAGTGCCTGCTGAGAAGACACGGCTGCAGAGGTAAACCCTTCGCTTCCAACCCCTCTGGCAAGGAGCGTCTGAATGGGAAAGTTTGGTCCTGTGAGTCACTTCAAGGAGAGAAAAGAAAAACAACGGGCTGTGCAATACTGACATGGATCTGCAAAAGGGAGAGGAGGTGGAGAAGGAAGGAGGAAAAGACCTTCCTGCCAGGCAGGACCAGTCCTCCCTTTGTAATGGCTCTTTCTGGAGCTAGAGGGGAGGAGGGGGGGAGAGGAAGGGAAGGGGTTGTGCTAGGGGAGCTGACAAATTCACTGGCCTCTCTGTAAGTCAACCTGAAGCAGAAACTCTTCCTCTGGAGTTCCCCTTCATCTGAACAGAAAGGGAGGAGGGAGGGAAGTGGGGGGTCGGGGGGACATCTGTGTGAACCTCTGGCTCTGAGCTGATGCTGCTTAAACGAGGAGGAAGATGACCCCAAATTAGAAGGGATCAAGTGCAGCCCCCCCTGCTCCCAGCCTGTCTGACAGGAAGCAGCTCTGCCAGGCAGCTCGCACAGCAGGCAGCTCTCCTGTGGCCCTGCAGGGCATCACCTCTTTATCACAAACACCTCCTGATGCTGTGGCCACCAGAAGAGGACCAATGGCCCAAGAGATGAGAACAGTGCTATGGCTGGAGTTTTAAGACCTTCAGAGGAAGATGAAAAGTTTGCAGGACAGGGCAGGGGGCTGAAGCCTCGTTCAGAGCACAGGTTGGTAACCCAACCCACCTACCAGTGCACTACATGATGTTAACAGCCTTCACCAGCTCTCCTGCTCAGCTCAGCCTCTGCCCTCAGCCCCACACCAATCAGTCCCCACTCTGGCTGCAGCCACAGACTCTGTTATCCAACCCCTTGGCTGTCCCATGCACCCACCTGGCCATCCTGGCCATCCAACCCCATTCACCTTCACCAGCCCTGATGCCCATCCCAGGGAGCAGCCACCCCCTGCTGCCCCCCACAATGATGCAGCAGATGGACTTTACCTGTGCTGCAGAAGTGACTCCTGCTTGCTCGCTGCTGTCAGTAGGGATGGTTGGCATCCTTGGGTCGTTTCAACTGGACCTTCAAACGTTTCATGCCAATCTGGAAGCCATTCATGGCCTGGATGGCAGTTTGTGCACTGGATGGGTTGTCAAAGCTTACAAAACCTGAAGGAGAGGACATGGGCAGTGGTAACAGCAGCACTGCTGAGGTGTGCTCAGCACATGTACATCCCAGCCATGTTGTGCTTCTTTGGCCTCTTGGGCAGCAGCACTCACCAAAACACTTGCTCTGGTTGGTGGCACGATCCATGAACACCTTGGAGGAGATGATATTGCCAAAGGGAAGGAACATCTGCATCAACTCATTGTCTCCAAACTCCTGAGGGAGATGGTAGATGAAGAGGTTGCAGCCTTCAGGACCTGCAGGCACGAGGGCGGTGTGGAGGGACAAAGCACAGACAGCCCCAAAGGGAAAGGGGAAGAGAAAAGGGCTCAACTAAGAGCACAGCACTGGAGGAGACCCCCAGCACTGTGTCCTTTGGCCTTGACCTCCCCTTACTCGTCTCAGACACTCATCCAAAGGTTCTGAGGGCTCTCCAAGACCCTCTGAAGACAATACAGAGAGCTGGAAGTTCTGGAGAGCAGATTCCCTTTTGCAGCTTGCCCAGCTCCCACCCTAGGCTCTGGCCACAACTCCCTGTGAGTATCCAGGTGCTGTCGTGCTGGAATAAAACCAGCCAAAGTGACAGCTCATAGCTTCCCAGTATTGCTCAGCTCTGCCCTGAGCAGCGGACACCTCTGTGTGAAAGCTGCAGCTCTCACCTTCCCTGCCCACAACCACACAGTAGCTGCATTCAACCCAGCTGGAAACCTCCTGGGCTGCCACACATCCCAGCTCTGGGCTGAGCTGCTCACCCTGTGAGCCTCACAAGCTCCCATCCTCACCTTCACGCTGCTGCTGCTGCAGGACGGGCGGCGGCTGCGGGATGCTCTGCGCGATGGGGGTGATGGAGGTGGTTGGATACACAGCTGTGATCCAAGGAGACAGAACAAACTGCTTACCCAGGGATGTGGAACACAGAACAAACCATTTACCCAGGGATGTGGAACACAAAAAGGCCTGAGGGAGAGAAGGGAAGGCGGTACCTGCATACTGCTGGACGCCGGTGAAGGCTGGGTGCAGGGTCTCTGCTACCGACGGGCTCTGGGCTGCAAAGAAGAACATCATCAGAAGCACAGCTAAGGGAACTGCATGCACAGAGACTCCACTGAGTCTGCAAGGAGGGTAGGAAATCTGCAGGGATTGAGAAAAAGAGAGCTAAGTTCAGCTCCTAAGGCCTCCGGATGGTTTTCTCCTGCGTGCCCTACCTGAATATGGTACAAAGCCATTGGTGTAAACTGTTTCCAAGGATGGATGGCCGTTGGGAAAGGGCACCACGCCAGTAAACCCATTGGAAATGGGTGCCACCAGCCCTGGCATGGCTGTCGTTCCCAGAAGAGGCGGTGAGTGCAGCCCTGCAGAGTGAGGAGGAGATGCTGTGAGGTGAGGCCCTGCAAAGCCCACAGTGCCTGTTCCATCTGCCAGGTGAGACTGCTGTGCACGGAGCTCTTATTTCTTCTAGATGGCATCTGCAGGTGACAGAGCTCAGCGTGGAGCTGTCACACAATGAGGGGCAGCACTGGCTGCTGTCAGAGCTCCAGGTGGGGACACTTTAAGCCCAGGCCTGCAAAGCAGCCAGCATGGCACAGCACTGCTCCCGACGGGCACCCATCCCCATCAGCTGCTGTGGATTGGGGCACGGAATGGCAGCACTGCCAGGTACAGCCCTGGGGATGGATTCACTCCTTCCTGCACCTTCCTGGACTGAGCTGAGCCAAATCGTTGCCCTCACCTGAAGTCTGTGCAATGGGTGCTGCTGGCAGCCCGTTCAGACTGACTGCCCCGATCTGCTGGATGTGGCACGGCGAGAAGGCGACGCCGGGGCTCAGGTAGCTGCCATGGGAGGTGGACAGGACGGTCGTCTGCTGCTGCATCAGCTGCAAGGCAAGGCAGGGCTGCTCAGGGTCTGCACAGCCCCCGGCAGCCAACCCCCCCCTGCAAGGTGTTAAGCTCTGCCTCGAGGAAGCCCAACCCCTCTGTCCTTTGCAAGGTGTGTGGGTGCACCATGGGCACCCAGCCCTGCTCCATCCTTCCTCCAGAGCAGAGAGGGATGGGGCTGGGAGCAGGGCGAGGGGGAAGCCTCGTGCAGCCAGCAGCTGGTGCTGTGAGACACAAGATGCAGCTCTCAGAGCACAGCACCAAGCACGCTGCCCTGCGCTCTGCAAGCAGCCATCTAAATTCCTTCATAAAGCTCATCTGCTGTCAAGAGGAAGGGCTGGGGAGGAGCAGGCAGGATGCTCTGGAAGTACTGATGAGCTGGGGTGGCACGAGGCAAAGCCAACAACAACATGAATCCTCTTCACACTGATGTGAGTTCAGTCCCACCGCCTGCTGTGCAGCACAACCCTGCCTGCTTGGCCCAGCATCCAAAACCTAACGTGGAAATGTTTGCATCTCTCTGTGCTTTCTCTTCATTCCCTCCACACTGAAGCTGCAGAAGAAGGAGAGGCATTGCCTGACCTCGCAGCACTGCTGTCTGAATCGACGTGTGGAGAGCAGCAGGGATGGAACCCACTGCAAGGCAGCACCAGGAGCTGCAGAGCCCACAACGTGCCCTGGCTGTGGGCTCTCAGAGCGAATCCCCCAAAGCAGAGCTGCTCCATGGCACGGATCCCTCACCCTGAGCCAGCAAAACGAGTCCTCCTGAGAGCACTGAGGTGGTGCCGAGGATCCCCGGGGCCATCAGCCTGCATGCACCGCTCTGCCTTCACACCCCAGCCTGCAGGAACCGATGCATTTCTTACTTAGAATATCGATTTTCTTTTTTCTCATTAGTGCCTGTTTGGTGGCAGGCTCTGGCTGGAACACGACCCGCATTCAGATGCAAATGTGCCACACCAGCATTCCCAAACGGTTGTCATTACTTCAATAAAATTACCTTAATGAGCCGTAAGAACAAAGGGTGGTGGTGGATGCACAGCTGTGTGCTCACAGCCACCAAGAAACAAGCAGGCACTGATGGCACCCACTGCTCCATCAGCCCTCCTCTGCACCCAGACCTTTCTCCAGGCCCCGATTTTATCTGAATTAATCACCAACCTGTTGATGGAGCTGAAATGAGGGATGTCCTCACTTCGTGGAGGAGGGGTGTGGGGCCCAGCTCAGCTCCCAGCTCTCAGATGTGCTGTTTTTTGGCTGCTCATCCCCCATGTCAGGGTGCAGCCCTTTTCTCTCAAGCTGTACCAGCTGAAATGCGCTGCCTATTTTTTAATTAATCTCACCTGATTGGATAACTTTAGACCTAATACAGCCTGGGATGACTTCACGTTTCATCCCAGATACCTTTCCTTCAAGGAAAATGTAATTAACATAAATTAAAAGCATCCAGCAGAATCAAGAAGTGAGGCCCTGAATGCTGTGATGCCTCAGGGGGAACTTTGGAGCAAAAGCTGCAGGGATGGGGAGAGCAGAATGCTGGCACAGAGCACTGGGAACGTAACAGCAGTGCCCAGGAGGTCCCAGCAGTGCTCAGCCTGACTCTGCCACGTCACCACCATCACCTGTTCCCCCAGTGCTGCATCCCAGGTAGCAGCAGGAAAGGTGTTAACCCTCTGCCTCTGATATTTTGTGCACCTGAGAGCTGGTGAGGATCTCTCCTTGTGGGAAGGCTGAAAGTGAAATGGGACAGAAAGTCTTGAGTCGAGGGGAAAGGCACTGCAGGCAGAGCAGGAAGGTTAGTAAGGAGGTGGAGAGAAGGCATTTACAGACAGCTGAGGAGAAACGAGAAGCAGATCAGCAAGCAGCACAGCTGAAGTTTGGTTCTGCCTTCTGGTCACCATTGGGAGCTTCTGAAGAGTGGAGGTCACTGACAAACCAAGCCTGGAAGATCTCCCTGCTCACACACTGCAGGCCACAAGCTCACAGCACAGCCTCATCCTGCCATCCTGCCCAGCTCAGCACCAGCTCCACGATAGCAGAGGGTGCACCAGCACGAGCACATCCTAGCTGACCCACGTGCTGACTGTAGTGGGTGCTTCTGGGGATTCTTAGAGAAAATGGCCAACAGTTGGGAAACAGTTCCTCCTCTGTCATGGAGATGGGACACAGAGCAAAGAGCCACTGAAGCCAGAGGTGAAGGTTTATTTTGTCCTCTAGGGAAATTACTTTTGGGAGCAGCTCCTACTTTCAGGCTCTTGGACACAAACATCTCTCATGCCCTGAGCAATTTCCCAGCCTCCTTCCATAGGAAGCAGAGAGACTTGAAAGTGACAGCCATCAAGACCTGAATATGCTCCACCAGAGCTGATCAGGGACTTGTTGAGTTTGGGATCTACTTCAAATACCAATGGCAACCACCACTACCATTGCCATAAGGCAGTGAGGTTCCCTCCACAAGATCTGAGGTGCAGCCAGCCTTGTCAGAGAGGAAGAAGGATGACTGGAACCCTCCGACCCTCTGCAGCGTCCTGCAAACCCCACTGGGTCACACTGGCCAAGAGAGGAAACCCTGGGAGCCACGGACAGCAGTGGGAGCTTGGTGCCTTCTGGAGAGTTTCAACAGAGAAAGGAAAACTTGAGGCTGGGCCCAGGGCTCTCCTGGTGCTCCAAAAGCAAACTGAGGCACACACTGAGGCCATGGACCTGGTTCACAAACCATGCTTGTCAAATATCACCCATGAATCGTGGCTCTGAGCCGTCCACAAAACAAGATAGAAAGCTCATGCTCCACCTGTTCCCAGGCACCTCCACCAGTCTACGTGTCAGAGGAACCCAGCCTCAATGTAAGGAGGTCCCAGTTCTCTCCTGCCGCCCCTTCCAGGAGGAAAAAGCACACGGGCTGCGCTGCCAACTGAGAAACTGGAACAAACCCCAGGTGCCAGGAAGCTTGCACACAGTTCCAGGGACCTGTCAGCAGTCTCCCAGCCCAGGTATGGAGCTGCCCCACAGCCAGGAGGGCAGCCTTCCCTCCCCAGCCCCCCAGTGATACTCACAGCCTGCGCATAGGCGCTGTATGGGCTGAACGGCAAGGTGAGAGATGGAGTGAATATCCCCAGCTGCCCCACCATTTGCTGCATACGACGGAGGGTCCTCTCCTTATCTGTGTCAGCAAACTTCACCACTAGACTGGAGGAAGCGCCCTAGGCACAGAGAGAGGAGACAGAGAGAGGAGGCCGGGGGGGAGGAGGCCAGGGGCAGGCAGAGTCAGCGGTCAGGCAAGGGATGGGGCAGAGCAGGCAGCAGAGAGGAAGAGGTGCAGAAGAGCAAATACTGGAGTGAAAGTGCTCAGCAGCTGCCTGGAACCTGGGCCATGCCCTTCCCCATCCATCCATCCACCCATCCATCCGTCCGTCCATCCATGTCCCACCCTTCCCCTCACACAACTGCACACACCTCTGGCTGCGTTCACCACAGGCAGCCCCAACCCAGCAGGCTGTGAGACTGCAAAAGATAACATCACAGCTTGCAGTGAGAGGGCACAGCTGTGGTTACACAGCCCCACCATGCATGGCCATTCCCACCTACCCCAGCATGCCCCAGAGGCCCCTCTACCACCTAAAGAGAAGGACAGGGAGTGTGGCCAGGCACTGGAGCCCTGACTGCTGCTCTGCTCTCAGCAGGCATACAGACTCACAGCCTGGTCCCTGGCTCTCCTTCTTTAGCCTTTTATCTAGATAAAAGTGCTGTCACTACCAGTCTGGGCAAACAGACACACACCAGCCTAGGAGACAGGATGGTCCCCAAGGACAAGAGCATGGATATGTGCATGTGCCCCCTGTCCTCAGCTGTACCGAGCTGGAAACTGTGGTTGTAGACAGTGAGGGACTTCCCTCTGGGGGAGAGAATTAGGAAAGGGGAGGTACCCTGGCCTCATACTCACGGGCATTGTCTGGCTGCCGTGGAGTGCGTGGATTGCTGCCTGAGCCTCTGTGTGAGATGAGAACTTTACAAAAGCACAGCCTGGAAAGGGACAGAGAGAGCACAGGAGACGCAGTGATGGGACCGCTGTGGTGTGGTCACATCTCACGCAGGGCAAAGGAGAGCAGAAAGGATGGCTCACCCCAAGCACTCTATTCTGGACAAGCAGGAAGGTTCTCACATCATTCTTTCAGTGATGTCACACCTCCACATCTGCCCCTCCTCATCTCCTCCCTACATTCTCTGTGTGCTCCGAATTGTGCCTACAAATGTTTCCAACTGCAACCCCAACCTGAGCTCACTGATGATCCCAACAGCTCCTTTCTGCTCTCTGTCCCCATCCTTCCACCTAACTGTGCCCATCCTCCCCAGCCTTCCCCTCCCTGCTATGTGTGTTCCCACGAGGCAGGCGAGCACTACCTGAAGAGCAGGGAGAAAGGGCACGACACAGAGGGGTTCACACCTTTGCTGTTCCCATCAGGTCCACGCAGCACCGTACATTCATCAATGACCCCAAATGGTTCAAAGAGCCGAAGCACGTCATCCTCAGACTGCTGCTTATTTAACATGCCCACAAAGAGCTTCCTGTCCCCTAGGGGCAAACACAGAAACATCAACCTTCTATGAGGGACACAGTCTAAAGTAGGAAGATAGGGACACGTATGCACAAAACAGCCTCGTGTTGAAAACATGCCCAGCATGGAAATGATTTGTTGTTGTCTGAAATGCTTCTTGGGTTATGTCTGATGGACCCTCCTGAGCTGCACACACAGGCAAAGGGTTCAGTGGTGTCCCTTCTCCTCCCCTCCCTGATGGTCAGCAAGGGTAGCAATTCCCTGCTCGTCATGATTGTTCTTTCCTTTGGATAATCCAATGCAAATGGGAATAACAAAACCTTCCTGGGTGATTATACCCCTCCTGAGCAATACATCAAGTCCAAGGGGCACCTCAGGACACACAGCAGACTGTCACAGGCAGTGCAAATCAAATGCTGCACCTTTGGCTTCTCTGCTTCCATTTCCCTCTATCCAACATTGCTATTTCCACTGCTGCTATGTAACTAAGCATCACCACTTGGATGTGCCCTTCCCTGCCCTATCTATCAGCCCACACAAACATAGCAGCATCCTCCCAAACTGCTGGGAGCAGCCATTCAAAGAGCACAGCTTCACATCCCAGCCCCATCTCTGCCACTGCAAGAAGATGGTTGGGGATGGTTATGTCAGGAGTAAACACTCCCCCAGTGCCACAGACACACGTGGGGAGATGTGCCCCAAGGCGGGGTGCTGGATGAGGACTGGGAGGACTCCTTATTGTGACAGGATCGGAGGGGCTGGCTTCAAACAAAACCAATGCAACGTGACGCACGTCGCAGCAAACAGCGAGGAAGCTGCAGTCTGTTTGAGTGCAGTGACCTGAAAAACAACAGGTCTGGGAGCGACAGCACGGGCTGCAGGGCTGTGCTGTGTGTGTGGTTGAATAGATGACACCCGGCACGCTCACACGGCCCCAGCTCCGAGGCACACGAGCACACTGCCTTCCCAATGCTCTGCCATGAGAACGTGGGCAAGCAGTGTGCACGTGCCACGTTTCCCTTGCAGAAAAAGCAAGGGAGAAAACAGACCGTGTGCCACACGGCTGCACCAGCACTACGGCAGCATCTGCCCCCAGCCAAGGCTTGGATGAATGGTTCCACTTTGGGCTGATGACTCATTTGGGAAAGATCCACCGAGACGCCGCCGTCCTTGCAGTTTTGCTGCAGGTCTTCTGTTGTTTGGGAGGGTTTGCTAACAGAACCTTTTGGAAGCCTGGTTTTTATTGGTGAGTGTCAGCTTTTCTTGCTTGAATTTGGAAGAAAAAAACATTTCCAGCTTCTCTGCCTATGCAGAACAGCTTAGAACCGTGCTACCCTACAGACTCAAGCTCTAAAGGCAAAAAAACCCCACACCTATTGGTTTTCAATCTCTTCTGAACACTCAGAATGGGGTGAAATCACTGTCAATGCAAGAAAAGGCTTCTTTCTTTTTTTTTCCCCAGCTAATTTCATTTCACGCAGCCCTGCTCCCAAGATGGCACACAGGGAAAGAAACCAGAGCTGTCGGGGCAGCCCATAGCGGTGAGCCATCCCTGCAGCTCCTGAATCCCCACAGCCTTCACCTGATGTCTGCTGTCACCACTCCCAAGGATGGATCCCAAATCAGCTGTCGTCCTCGAGCCACGGCTGCGGGTCACAGCTCCAAAAGGACTCCCTCCTGGTAACAGCACACCCCCCTCCACTCATTTGTCCTCTGTTTCTCTCCAGATCTTGTTTTTCACCTTCTGATTGGCAATTTCCCCATACTGTCCAGCAAGCAGGAAAATTGTCTCTGATCCTTGGCTGTTGAGTTCCCATGGAAACATGCTCTGGGCGCAGGCAGGCAGATGGGAGGAGGGAGAGTGCAGAGCAGGTCGGGATGAAGATACCATGGGAACAGCCACGGGGCTGAAGGCTGCAGCCACGAGAGAGGGAGCACACAGCCCTGCAGATGGAGGGAACTGGGCCAGCAGCCCCCAGCAGCAGGACTTGGGCAGGGGGAGGCAGCTGTGGATGGGTTGGGTCCCACATTTAGGCAGGTAGGATCCTCCTTGGGTAGGCAGGGGGGGGTTCTTGCCTCTAACACAGTGCTAATGGGCTTGGGCCAGCTGTCACATCGACTTGGCACAGCACAGAAACACAGACAAACTCCTCTGCCCCTTCAGCCCATCTCTTGCTGGTCCTCCTGGGTTCATATCAGAAGCAGAAGGAGGGAAGAACTGACACAGTATGCACTGGGATGACAGGTCCTCTGAATTCATGCAGGCAGCATCTTCTTCCTAGCAAATCCCTTCTGCAGAATGCAGTAACCCCCAGCATCCAGCTATCCCACACAACCTTCCCAGAGTTGCTCTGGCACAAGGATTCACATCCCTTACACCAGGAGACAAATTATGGTGCTCTGACTTAAATCAGGGTGCTTAATTTGTGAGGTGTGAGCCCCTGCAGAGGTTCCTTTCAAGGGTAATGCAGATCAGAGCTCCACTGATGTTCCCTTGTCTGAGCAGCTCTGCCCTGCCCAAATCTTCCTCTTACCTCCTGTCAGTGTGGGGTTACTGCTACAGGGAATGGCTCTTTCCAGATCTGCAAATGTGCTTGGCCACATCTCTGGCAAGAAGGAGAACTGCAAGAGGAACCTTTAGAAACAACAACCTGAGTCAGACAAACCCAGCTGCTTCCACTACTGGGAAAATTCCAGTCTGTGGTGGATCCTGTGGGGACCACTAGTTTCTGAGCTCTGCAATGAAGCTGGAAGCAAGAAAGGTATTCAGAGCCTCCCAGCTATTCTCATGGCTTCCCAGATAAAAGTGCTATGGGGATGTGCAGCCTCCAATAAGAAGTAGTCCAGGAGCCAAAGCCTGGCTCCACTCTGCTGCTGGGAAGCAGAGCTGATGCCCTGCCATTTGCAGTCATTGGAGATCGTGGCCCTTTTCATACACTTAGAGCTTCCACACCAGGAGCCTGCCTCCAAAGCAAAGTCCTGCCTGCTTTGCTCCCCAACATGAGCTCTTTTGGTCTGCTCTCCCTCTTCTCCAGCCCAGCCCAGCACAGCTGCAGAACAACCACTGCTCTGACATTTCCAGGGAAAAATGAATGTTTGCAATATAAATATTGTGAAGGAGAGAAGAAAGAAGAGACGGGGAGTGAACTCCTCTCATATTCAGATTTCATGGGTGCTGCGTGGGCTTGAGGCTGAGATTCCCACTTGGGAAAAGAGCAATCCCTACAGAGAGGGGGAAAAAGGGCAAAGTTTGCTCAGAAAAGACTTTTTTTTTTACCCTAAAGTGAAACGGAATGGAAACAGAAAATGCCTTTTTGGATGAGAAACCAGTGGTGCTGACAAAAAGGGGGATTTCTTCTTTGGTGCCTTTTCCTTGAGAGCCAAAAAAATTGCTACTCTTGCATTGATTTTGCAGGAGAGAAATCATCCTTCTCAGAATGGTGAAATAGGAACATGTTAAAAGCTGATGTATGCCTTCTGCACAGCTCTGCTGGGGGAGGAAGCATCCCAAGACACCTCGGGGTGAATGCTGCCCATGATACAAGGCAATGGTAACAATTAATTAAAGAGCCACTGTGGGATTTTCTGTTTTTCTTTGGGAATGAAGCCCACCCTTCTGTAGGAAAAGCAAAACCACCATTGACTTATTTCTGCTCTATATGAAAGCACCAGAGATGTTAAATTCCAACCCATTTTGGGATACCAGGTAGCTATGTTTGTATGAGAAACTGTTCTGTCCAATGAAACACATCTGGTGGAATGGCTAGGCATGCAATGGGAACACAAATGGGCAGGTCTCAGTCCAAGCCAGGTGTTGAATTTCCCAAGAAAACAGCAAAACCACGGATTCTGTTTGAAAAAACAAAATATCTGACTTGATAAACTTTCTGTTTTTTAAAGGAGGATCACACAAACAGAAATACACACGTCTGTGAAAAAAAAATCACAAAATATATCTCATTTCTGCTGGGGCAATAGGCAAAATTGCTTAGAAATGATCAACTGCTTGGAAACAACCCCTGAAAATCCCAAATAAAAGTCTTCTGAATCCAAACACAGCACGCAGGACATGCTGCCCTGCAGGAACAAATAGCGTCACACAAATCCTCCCCACCAGCAAACTGCTTTTAGAGGCAGCACATGGAGAGGCAGATGCAGGAATGGAAAAAGGGGAAAAGCAATGTACCAGTAAGACAAGGAAAAGCAGCAAAACATCCATAAATCTGGACAGGGTGGGAGCTGCAAACCCTCTCCACCCAGAGGAAGAGCCTGAGCTGCTGTAAGCTCCCCATTAATTTCAGAAATACTCTCCTGTTCTCAGTCTTCCAGCTCTGAACTGCTCATTAGGTGCAGCTCTAAGCAAGCTGCTTCACTGCAGGCTGCCAGCTCCTCCATCTCAGCCTTAAAGTCGGGCTCCTTCTCCTACAGAAGTGCCTCCCCATCACATGCTATTTTCTCCATTGGCATTTGGGTCCTGAGTGCAGGGAGGCTGAGCCAGCCCAGCAGTCACAGGTGAGCTGCAGGCACGAGAATCAGCCACCCTAAATCTGTGCCACATACAAACAACCATTCACACAGACTGCGGGGAGGGGGAGGTCAGGTCAGGACTCTGCACGTCTCTGCTCCATCTCCCAACCACAAAGCCACCACGGGAGGAACAAGGAGAGATGACAACTACCTCCACGGCTCTCGCTGTCTGCAGGCTTCACCTGAATCGGGCGTGCCATCTGCAATGAGAAAAGAGACACACAGGGTTAGAGCATGGCCCACGTGCCTGGCACACAGTGCTGATGGCACCAGGTGCCCCTTTCTGCCTGCTGTGCAGGGCAGGAGAGCAGCAGAAGGGAATCGAGGCACTGTGATGGCAACCCAGGAGAAGGGACCAAGTGGATTTCAGAGTTTTCCAAAGGAAATCAGGATCTCCTGGAAATACCCTGTGTGCACAAACTTCTGCTTCCTCCAGACAGAAGGCAGAATGCCTCTGAACGTGACTAGCAGTGCAGCAAGCAGGCAGGTTGCATTTCCCCCTCCCCAGTCCCCCTGCAGTCAGAGCACGCTCTGTGCTCCAGGGAGGCTCTAAGAAGGGCATTGCTGCTCTCCAGCAATGTCTCCTTACTGCACTGTTTGAAAGGGACAAAAAATCCTTGGCTTTGATTGTGAAGAGCTGCTTACCTCTCTCGTACCCATCAGCAATGATTCAACCAGCAGCAATAGCCAGAGCTCAGCCCACAGGACATGAGCACTCTCCAGGTAAGACAGACAGACAGCTCTACCCAGGAATACCTGGATTAAGTAACCCACAGCTTTAACTGGCTGATTTGCAAACCATTTGTCAGCTGGATGGTACAGCACTGGTGTGTCCTATGCTGCCCAAAAAGGGAAAACACAGCTCCCTCCCCAGGCTAGCAGGATCCATCTGAGCCAGAATGGCCTCTGAGCACTGTTGTATGAGGCAGATGTCCACACAGCACATCTCACTCCACGTCTCACAGCATCATTCACAGAGGCTGACAATGACTTGAAGCAGTGACATTCACAGCACAAAAACCACCAGGAATACTGCAGGTCAGACCCACAGGCAAACTGCAGGCCAAGCAATGCTCTACCCTCCCTTTTAGGAAACAAAACAGAGAACAAAACCAGGCCTTAAAAGTCACAAACTGAAACGTGTTTAGAAGCCAGCATGCAAAACACACGCTGCTGTCACAGCAGTGACTGAGCCAGGCTGGTTAGAAAACCAAAGCAGAGCCCGTATTCACAGCAGCTGGAGGAAATCTGTTGGGTAACCCAGCAGCTAACAGGACAGAGGGGCCAGCCAGCAGGCCAAGCTGATGGCTGAGCATGGGAGAGAACCTGTGGCAACCCAGGGCTATGACCTGGCTTGCACAGACTGGTGGATCTTAAGCAGGATGAAGCCAAAGCTGGGAGCATCCCTGGGTTTCACCCTCTCTGCCTCCAGGAGTGAGGTGGGGCTGCAGAAGCTGGCTGGCAGCACCCCAGAGAAAGGCCTCTTTGGTAGGCAGCAGTGCTGGCTTCAACCCTGTCTGCCAGGACTTGCTGTGTCATTCAGGGAAAAGGGAGAGGCTGAGGATCTCTTTCCTGCTCTGGATCAACTGCATGGGTTTACAGAGCTCCCAACATCCTGCTCTGCTGCCAGGTGGCTCCAGCATGTGCAGCACTGGCACTCACCAGCCTCAGAGCTGCAGCTGAGGACCCGGCATCTCCTTCAGCCCGTGAGCTCCGTGGGATGCGGGGCAGAGATCAGGAGGAGGCAGTGAGAATTCGCTCCAGAAAGCTCCACATCTCCCAGCTGAGATGTGGCAGCTCCTGCAGTCTCTGGTCGTAAGGCTGGGCTGGGCTGGGAGAGGGCAGGCAGCCCAGATGTGTGTCTGGAAGAGGGGATCTGTGCAGAGCCAGGAGGAGTGGCTGCCCACCTCCCTCCCTGCCTCTCCCGCAGCACAGAGAAATAGCTTTGTCTCTACCCAGGAAGCAAAACCAGGATTAAGCTAAACAGATGGGGAGGGAGATGGAGGGGCAGGCTCGGATCTCATCTCCTATGTGGAGCAAATTCATTGGGGGGCAGGGAGGGAGGAAGGGATGCTGCTGAAGCCAAGAGCATCACTCCCCCCTGCACGGGTACAGAGGCACCCAGGGATGCTGGGGCTGACAGCCTAGGGCAAGGAGCCAAAAGCACGGGGAGGAGGGGGGGGTGAAGAAGGGGGCTCAGTACCTGGGGACAGCTCACCCGTCCCCTCCCCCAAAAGGGCTGTCACTCCAGTTCCAAGCACCTTGGGGAAAGGAGGTGTCGTCATGGAAACGGTTATTCACCGCATGGAACCTGACATTTGTGGTTGCCATAGAAACCAGCTCTTGGGGGCATTCCCTCTGCTTTGCAGAAAAGAGACATTTTGGTATGATCTCCGGGGAGGGGCCCCCTCCGTCCATCTGTCCACCCCTTCCCCCTCCCCAGAGCCTGCAAGGCCCCAGCGGGGTGAGCCCACAGCACGGCCACGCAGGCTGCAGGACTGCAGAGGTGCCAGCACTGATGCCAGAGCAGCACCACGGGTCAACAGTGGTGCCAGCCTGCCAGCAGTGCCTGGCTGCGGCAAGCTGAGGCATCCTAGGGGAAGGCAAGGACTGCACCCCACGGCTGCAGCCATAGCTTTTCCTCTGACTGCCTGGCAGCCCCACAGCTCAGCGTGGGAGACTCACCGTTGGTGTCACACCAAGCTCACAGCCAAGGGATGCACACTGCCCTCACTGAGCTCTGGTCCTCGTCTGCCCCTCAAAGAGGTGGGGAAAGGGGAGAAAACAAGACGTGAGGAATTTGTCCAGATGCTGGGGTTGGAAGAGAACAGCAGGATTCTGTGTGTGCTGCTGTGTCCTGAAATGAGAGAGCTCCCAACTGAGGGGGAGGCAGGCATGGCCCTGGCTGCAGAGAACTGCATACATGAGGTTTCCACGAGCAGGAGCATGGCTTTAATCCTTCCAAGTCCCACGCTGCCATTGAAGATGAACAAAATTTCAAAGGCCTCTCAAGCAGAGATGTGAGCCTACAAATACAAAGGGGGCCCACAGCTGCTTTAACTCATCACCAAAGGCCTTGGAAGTGTCTCTGTGGCAAATAAAAATCATACACAGGTCTTGGCAAAGAGCTCTGCGCCCAATAGGAACAGGACAGAGAAGGATGGGGAACACAGAAAGGATGGCCAAAGATCACCTCTTCCACGTGAGAAAGCTATTCAGAGGCAGGATGGCGGGCAGGTCGTGCTTTCAGTCTGAAGAGCCACACTCTGGAGGTGGGCATTCCTTCATTCTCTGGTCACCACCTCAGGCTGCACAGCAATCAGGGACACCTGAGCCCACAACAGCCAGGTTTGTATGGGCCCACAATCACAGCCAGAGGCAGCACATGCACGCCTTGGATCCCAAGTGACAGAAATGCACGTGCACAGGCCTGCATGCCTAGTCCACACAAACATACATGAACACACGTGTGCCACACAGGACAAAGAAATGATTTACGAGGCTGCGCCCGCCTCACAAGCTGAGCTTAATTTTTCCTCATTAAATTATTTAGCTGGGCATTAAAATTTAACCTATTTGTTCATTTCTGAAGAATACCACGGCCACATTTTGCACACGCCAGCAGACCCACGTGGGCCAGATGCCCACCCCTCATCCCAAAGCTTCTCTCCCTGCTCTGCTCCCCAAACCCACGTTTGCAGCAATGCCTGCAGCTCAGCAACCCAGCAGCCACGTTTGCCAGGAGGAGCAGCGAGCCCCTCCTTTTGCTACTCCAGCTTTCAGGCTGCAGATAGCCCCCACGGACGACAGGGCAAGCCTCTCTATTAATTAGGAGTTAAGTTATGTAGAATAGCCCCCCCAGGTACAATGCAGGGGAACCTCACAGTGTTAAGTGGGTCAGAGGCAGAGCGCATTAAACACATGATGCAGGCTGGCTCCTCTGGGACTTCAGGAACCAAAAGGCATCCAAGGCCATTGGCAGAATGAGGTCCTGGGATTTCAGGCTTTGTAGGTTGTGGGCTGGACCTCTGCTGGCCAGTTAAAGATGCCCTGCACGATGATTGGAATCAATTCTAGCTGTGCACCCAAAGTTAAATGCTGGTTTGCTCATTTGAACTCCTGGTGGGGAATACAGTGGGCTGGTGCCCAAACCTCCTGCTTGCTCTTTCCCTGGTGTGTTGGCCCTATTCAGAAGGATCTGCCTTCATGAAGAAATGAGCAACATTAGCAACGAGCAGCACTCTAGCCCAGCTCTAAGAGCTGCTGAAGAATTCAGTCCATTTCAATCCCCATTCAATGCCATTCAGAAGGAGACAAGGATAATAATGAGAGCTGTGCTCCACGTGGAAGAATCCAAGGGAGATGATGTTGGAGGTCACACATAAAGTCCAGAGCCCAAACCACGCAGCTCCTGCCCACACAGCAATGGCCTTCTGCTTCCAACATGAAGGAGAAAGATTGCTGGAGAGCTTTCACCTCACTGCTTTGTGTCACAAGGAGAGCTGAGGAACTCATCCCACAGGTTTTCTGGAAAGTACTTTTCCCCCAGCACAGAGCAGGGGAGCTCTCTCCTTTTCCTTCCAAAGCTGAGTGCACACAGGACTCAGCAAGCAGCCACTCGAGCGCATGGCCACGATACACATGCACTGACTGCTCTGTGTTCCTTCTCCCTTAACACAGTCAGCTCTCCTTGTCCTCCCTCCAGCTAGCACTGCTCTGGGAGCAAGGCAAGAAGCTTATTGCTGTGACTCAAAGCCTCTGCATCGTCTTGATAGCCCTGCAGAAGTGACAGCACCATTACTGTGAGTTAGCATCAGACAAGCAGCAGGGAGGTCAGCTCAGTGTAGCACAGACAGCCCTGCCACGTGCGTGGCTTTGGCAGGCACACATCATCAGGTCAGGCTCCTGGGATCCATGGCCAGGCTGCTCTCGTGGGGCTCCTTCCCTGATGTCTCAGAGCACCAAAGAGGACACTGGATGATATTCCCCATTGCTCTGATCTCTTCTTGTTATCTGAGCTCAGTGCCAAAGGGGCTTAAAGGTGAGAAAAGGGAAATGCCAAATGCCTCACATCTTTTTCTACAGGTGCTAGGACACCAAGTGTGTCCCTGGAAGCTAAAGGAAGAAAACTTCAGCTTTTCAGCAGGGACAGGCAGGGTTGTCAACAATAACCTACCATAGGCACCCAGCCAGGATGGCGACGCTGATGAATTATTCTGTAAGAAACTCAGAGATGCCTCCAGATCAGCTGCCCTTATCCTCATGGGTGACCCCAGCCTGGCAGATGTTAAATAAGAACAGCACACTGGTGACACACAGCAGTGATGGTCCTGGGACCCCCGGAGCTCTGAGCTGCAGGACTGTGCCTGTGGGAATGATAAACCCCCATCCAACTCCAAACCTGTGCAGGATTTGCTGCTCCAGATGGATGCATGCAAGTCTACACGGCCTGATGGGATCCATCCCATAGTACTCTAAGAGCTGGTGTCATTGCAAGACCTCTCTCAATTATTTTTCAACAGTCTGGGGAATCTGAAGAGGTCCCAGTCAAGTGGAAGCTGGCAAACTTTGTCCCAGTTTTCAAGAAGGAAGACCCTGGTAATTGCAGGCTTGTCAGCATCAATTCAGTTCCTGACAGAATTACAGAGATCACTCTGGGAGTTACTGAGAAATCCTTGAAAGACAACGTGGTCACTGGTCATAGCCAAGAGGGGGTTCAAGAGGCAGGTTCATCTGTTTAGCTAACTTAATTTACTTTATGACAAGGTTACCCATGCTGTTGACCAAGGGAAGCCAGTTGATGTCATCTTTTTGGACTGCAGCAAAGCTTTTAATACTGTTCCTCATGGCATGCTTCTGGACAAGATGCCCAGCATCCAGCTACATAAACACACAATTCAATGGGTGAACAGCTGGCTGACAGGTTCAAAATGTTCAGGTAGCTGGGATTACAGCAGGCTGGCAGGTGTCAGTCAGTGAGATTCTGCATGGCTCCATTTTAGAGGCTGCTTGCCCCTCATCTTCAGGGATTCCTGGCAGCACCTCCTTCTTTCACAACTGAGAGAGCTCTGCCAGTAGCACAGCTGTCCAGCAGCAGGGCAGGAGACCTTCTGAAATGTCCTACAGGAGTCTGGTGCTGCTCCTGGCTGCTGCACGTGGGCCTTAGTGGGGCAGCAAAGGCAACATCTGAATGGGAATGGGATGAGAAGGGAAAGGTACAACCTGCTTTCTCAGAGCTTCCTGTTCCAGGACTTCTCCACTTCTCAGACAAGATGTGAATGCCCCATGCCTGGAGGTGCTCAAGCCAGGCTGGATGAAGCCCTGCACAACCTGATCCAGTGCCTGAGTTAGTGTTTGGCAATCCTGCCTGTGGAAGGTGGGTTGGAACTATTTGATCTTAGAGGTGCCTTCCAACCCAAGCCATTCCATGACTCCACACACCTTCATTCAAGATTCCCTTCTGTCCTATTACCATGCTCTACCTCTCCACCTCTCCTATAGCAAAAGAATGTTCCTACATCTTCTTTTGTCTTCACCTTGGGAATATTTCTCCTATAGCAGAGGAGACACACAGGAACATGCCCACCACCTTAGGTGAGCTTGTCAGAAAATATGCCAGCTCTGGGAGACAAAAGCTATAGCTCTGTGCTACAAGTCATGAGAGCCCAGCTGTGCAAAAGGCAGCAATGTCTAGAGAGGATGGGAGGGATGGATAGGATGTGCCTGTGCACAGGACAGAACCTGCGTGTGCATTTTTGAACAGCACATAGCAATGGGTGCTGATCTTTAATTTCTTTATCCTTCCAATTCTGTAGGCTGCAAGCTGCAATGTTTGCCTTGGCAGCTTGCTCTCCCTCTGCCTCTTCAGGGTGTGTACTTCGTAGGGCTGCTGCCTTGCCTTGCTGTTAGTTCTCAGCCCCTTGAGCCAAATCTTGGATAGAATGAGCATTTGCATTCACCTCTGCAGTGAATGGGCACTTGTGCTGCTGCCTGCTTAGGGGCTCCCTGTTCTGCCCAAGGGTTCAAACCACAAAGACCACCTCAAACAAGGTTAGCCCAGCATCAGCCCCCAGACAACACTCAGACCCCACACTGCACCCTTCAGCACCAACTCCAGTGCTGCCAGCTGCAATGCCCTGTCCTGTTCACACAGAGAAACCATTTCACACATACTGCTCCACGTTGGCTTCACACAGCTGCTTGGACAAAAGAGAAGGGGACAATGAGATGCTCTGACCTCCCTACCAGCCCCTCTCAGACACCTGTGTTCCCTCACACCACCACGTGCTGTGGATCCTGAGGCAGCCCACGTCCTGGCAGCGCAGGCACAGCCTGCCCACAGGGATGCTCTCCACTCACTGCTGTGTCTCTGCATTAATCCTGATGCCCAGCCATGTGAGTTACTGCTGCTGCATCTCAACCTCTGGTGCATTCCCAGAGTCTCTCTCTGCTCTAGTGCTGCTGCTGGCCGTAATTTTCCATTCCCGTGGCCCTGCATTCCCAAGCCCTCGCTGTATCCATGAGTTCCTTCCCTGCATTTTAGTGCCCCCACTGCTGCTCTCAAACTGCCCATATTCCCAGCTTGGATCAATACCAATTTCTGCCACTTACTCGCCTACCTTTCAGCAAGCCCTTCTTTGTTCTGCATAGAAATAAAACAGTAACTGTATCTTGCCAGAAGAATTACTTTTTAAAAAATCCTCCCTCCCCTTCTCTCCCTCCATTCTTCTTTCCCTTCTTCAGGAGCAATTTTACGTAATTTGCAACTGTCTCCCTGCAAATGAAAAGCAACACAAAGCGTTTCTGCGAAACATTGAAAAGCTGGCTGCTTTTCCCTCAAATTTCACTTAGCAAGAGGCTTTAACTTGGTGTGTGATCACTGTGTGTCATTAATAACCTCTCCAGTTCCTTTCAGAACTCAGCAAAGTGAAGGCACAATCACGAATCAAAGGCATGGGTTATTGAGATATAATATCATTTCACTGAGCCAGGGAGCAGCAAGGAGGTGAAATGCTGCTAGGCTGGCTGGCAGCTGAAGAGGACAATAGATTTAAGAAGGAGCACGAGAAATTGGTTTTCTCTCTGCATTTCAGATCCAAAGAATCTGCTTCTGTTCGGCCTCCACGGGCTGCTTGTCTTTCCTCAAACCTTTACCTCTCTGTTCTAGGAAGCTCCATCATTCCCTTCCCAAGGGAGAATGCAAGCACTTGTTAATTCCAGACTGGACTGGCAGCAGTTCTGATGACAACACAGGTGTTCTGTACCTCTGAACACAACAAGTTTCAGATAATGCAGTACACAGCTGACAGCCTCCTTGCTTTACACCCCGAGTATACCAGCGCCTTAGGAAAGGGAGTGTGAACTGAAAATCTGGCTACTTTCAGAAAAAGATGCTAAATCTTACTGTCCAAAACAAGCTATTTTGAGTTTAACACTTGGGTTCTATTTAGCTGCCACTTATTTAAAGATAAACAGACGAAATAAAAGTCACAGCGCAAAGAGAATTTCATTCCCAAAAAGGAGAACTTGCCAGAAACACCATAAAAGCCAACAGAGACCATGGTGACTGCTACTGATTTATGCAGAAAACCTACAGTAATCAGCAGCCATTTAAGAGCTCAGGACAGCCACACTGCAGACATGACACTGCTGGAGCAACGTGGCAGTGTTCCTAGGGCTGGCAGCCCTCACATCCAACCCAGAGGGCACAGGCAATACACGTGTGAGTGCAGAGAGCAAACCCAGTGATAGATGTGGGAAGAGAACCCAGCAGCCCTGCTCCAGGTCACCTGTCAAGCTGCATGCTCACAGCCTGAGGACCAACAAGAAACCATTTCACAGCATTTCCCTAAGCCTGTCATTACCACACAGACCAAGAAAGTCATTTGTTTGAGATCAACCACCAGTCTGACACTGCACTGTGACCAACGATGAGGAGAACTTCATTCATTGCTTTGCAATACAACAGCAAGAGTAGGACAACCAACAAAGCCATGGTATGTCTGTTCCAGTCTTTGCTGCCTCTGAAGGTGCTGATCCCTGGCCATGCATTCAGATTAAAGTTTGTTATCCCCACACCAACATCATGCGTTCTTAAACTTTCTGCCTGCCATTCTCTTTGCAGTAATAAGACATTAAATGGGTAAAATGAAAAAAAAAATGCAGACCACAGCCCATGTACTGAAATCCCAGAGCTGTGGTCCACTAAGTTCCCTTCTCCGTCTTATGCTGGGTCCTCACCATATTTTTGGTGAGAATTTTTGCCATAGTTCCTGAGAAGACGTTCTAGCTGTGAATGCATACAGAAGAAATGTCACAGCCTTGCTCCCACAGCAGGGAAACAATCACTTACCCAGCACTCCTGCCTGTGTCTAAGTTCCAGAATATTCTCTGTGACCAACTGGGATGGGTGATACTCTAAGGAAACAAGCAATCCAGGTTAAGAAGAGGGGGCTGGAAGCTGCCTCAGGTCAAGCAGCCCATATCCATGCTAAGATCAACTCTGCCCAAATCAGAACAGAGGCCTGTTTCGTTCTGGTGGTGACCATCTCTAAATGACCAATGAATGAAGTGGTCAAATGACCTCCTGCTTCTCGTTCACAGAAGGAATTCCCAAAAGAGGAATGCAACGTGATAAAGCAGTAAGCTGCCAGCCTGAAGATCGACAGCTCCAAATACAGCACAGTTCATCTGTATCTTAATCCCGAAGCTTAATTACAGCACATTGCTCATTAACTGTCTCAAGATTCACATGTTTGGAAGCACTCAGCTAGCACACACTGCATTTTCTTACACCTCCCTTAACAAAACAGATCATCACATTTAGATCATCACACCCCAAATGAACGCGCTTTGTGTTGCTGCTTTAAGCACTGCCCCATGCAGGGCTCTGTAAGCACTGCCAGCACAAACACAGCAGACCATGCAAAAGATTCCCGATGCAGGCATGCAGCAAAACTGAGATTGCTTTGAACGCGCTGAGCCTCTCAGGAATAACCTGTCAGGGTGTCTCTAACCCTGGGCAGGGACGTGGCTGTGTCACAGTGCTGTACCATGACTCATCACAGCTGCTCCTCCATCCTTCAGCTATTTCTTATAGTCTGCCTGCTCTGCCCGGGACCACTGCACACAGCAGATTACACAGAATTAACTCAAATGGCAGCTGAGAACCTGGCTGTCTGCACTCTGCCCCTCTGCTGTCCTCACATAACCTGAAACTGTAAAGATTCTATCAAGTGGCAATCAAGAGAGGCACATTTTCTGTCCCTCTAATGCCAGCCCATGGGAAAAGAGAGCACAGATACACAAACAGGAAAATGTGTGTGTGTGTGTGTGTGAAGGTCTTCAGGGGAGCTGGGAGATGGGAGGGGAGCAGACTGGACCTGTATGGGTTAAAGAGGAAACATTATGGCTAAGAATTTCTAACCCTTCTCCAGAGACCCCTGGTTTACATTAATTATCCTGTTGCCTTGAGCACTCAGGGCCTCCTGTGAGCTTCTGTCTACAAGTACCCAGCTCCTCCACCTACTCAACTACAAATGAATCTTTCCAATGCGTTTGCTCAACCCTCTCAGCACAGCAAGGGAATTGCCCAGTCAAAGCCCTCACACCACACAGAAGCAGGAATGGCAGGGATTCAAAACTGCCAGCTCACCAGCAGGTCCCAAGGAAGCAGAGGCTTGCCTGCAATGAGGGACCTGACCCAAAACACCTGGCTGCTCGGGATCCCTACTGCACTTTGCTCTCTGCACAGATGTAAACTGAGCAGGTCTCACCTGAGGGATAAGCCACAGCTACTTCAGCAGAATTGGTTTCATCTGTATAACTCATTGCTTTTCCAAACTATGGGATATGCCAAGTACGTTTCTTCCTCTGAGAAGCTGACGGAGATCAGCACAGATCCACCCAACAAAGTGCCCAGGCACCTTAAAGGCTCCAGCAGACTGGCAGCAGATGGACCAACGAGTTCTGCACTCTTGGAAGAAAAGGATCTGGTACCTTCTGTTGTGACTCCTATCAGCTTCCCAGCATGGCTGCTGTGCAGGCCGAGGACACAAACATCACCCCAAGAGCAGCACAGCTCCCTAGTGACAGCAACACATAGCTGGAGGTGCCACATCCCACCACTGAGACCAAGGAACAGAAATAGGGATGGCTGGAATTACATGGGACAGCCTTGGTAGGACAGACAAAGAGCACTCCTCTTTCCCAAGCCATTTTTACACCCCTGCTCCCTCCCCAGCAACCCCTGCTCGTCAGTACAATGTGCTGGGACTTACCCCTGGCAAAGTCTTCTGTTCATGCAGTGCTGTCTGGGCTTTGATAGCAGAGTCTCTGGCGCAGTACGTGAGGAATGCACAACCTGCAGTGGACACAGCAAGCGTCAAGTTAAACGTGCAATTGCAGATGCACACCAACACAGTATTTCTCTTTGGTGAGAACAGGTGACCAAGGTACCTAAATACTGGCCTGTGCCAGCAGATCTGTGCTCCAATTGTCCTGCTAATGATGGAGTGCCCAGGACAGCCCTTGTGTGAGACCTGACTTCTTCATTAGCAGAGGAAAAGTGGAAGGTTTGCTAATTAAAGGAGCAAATGTTATGAAATCTAGAGGTACTGCAGTCTCTGGGGAAAAAGGCAAAAAAATAACAGTAAAAGGCCTGCAGGTCTCATCCAAGGTCTGTTAAGCCACGGAAAGGGGTCCCAGGGAATCACATCAGTTTGAAATAGGTGTTGAGCAAAGTGAGAAACAACAGGAGAGCAAAAAGCAGGGTAACACTGCCTGTGGAAAAACAGCCCAAGACACAAAGAACAGAAGGGTGCAGGGACCAGTACGGCTATTGATACAAAATAAAATAAGTCATGGAGAAAGCAAAAGCATCTGAGATACAGAAGCATCACGATCCAGCACCATGGAACCCTAGAAAGCCACAGCTTGGCTTTCTGTGCCATATTCCCACCCATGATGGGGGAAACAGGGAACAGCAAAGCATAATGCACTCTGCAAGCACTGACTTAGGAAGTGAGATGTAAAGCATAAGGAAAAGGCCTGATCCTGACGTTCTCAGCCAAGGTCTGACCCAACATCTTAGCCTAAAACTGGAATCTGGGATGAGGGGAAGAATTGTAGTCCCTCGAGGAAGAAAAGGGATCATCTCTGGGTGCTCTGATGCTCAGAACAATCAAATGAAACTAACCAAAGGAAGAAAAATTGGCTGATTATCAAGAAACATGTCCTAGCAGAGGGAAATTTATTAGACTGTGGAATGATCTCCCTGGGGAAGTGCCTGGAGCTCTGTCACTTGAGTTGTTTCAGATGAGGCTGGAGAACAGACTCAGATGCGTGACTCCCTCACTCATCCCCCTCCTATTCCCAGCAGCATTTCCCATCCTAACCAGAAGCAAGACGTGTCCCTTCGGCCTGGCACTGAATGCCAACGTGCCCAAGGCTGAGCTGGGCTCACAGATGCATCGGTACAGCCCAAACAAAGCCTGCTCTTCTGCCTCCAAAGCCACTTCAGAGCCCTACGGATCCAGCGGTGGGCACAGGACGAAGCCTGCACAGAGCTCTCCCTCTGCTCCGCAGTACAGAATGTTTTTAGGCCATGTGGAAGCCAGCTGCTCAAGACAATCCCAACCCATGGCAGCGGGATTATGCTATTCTTCCGTCCCGGCTCCCAGAAATTGCTGCAGCTGAGCAAATCATAGCTGTCCTTACAGCTCTTGCTAGAAAAAACAACAACACAAAGCCACCACCCTCCATGAATAGCACACATAAAGTACTGGATGCCTCTAACAGGGAATTAAAGCCCCTTATTGCGCACAT